TGAACTCCACACATTTGCTGTGGCATGTGTGCTCCCCCCAACATAATAAATAGAAATTCAGTAATAAAAAATTAAAAGGTATTGCTAAGAAATGGGCTCTTTTCCATTTTCCATTTGAAGGAATGCATATGTTTATAGCAGAGTAATTGCCTTTGAAATAAGAATTTGAGTTTAGTAAGCATTTATAGGACTAAGGAGTTGGTGAAGTGATTGCTGTTCAAGCATGAGGACCTGAAATCAAATCCCCAGATCTATGTAAAAACTGAGCATGATGGAATATGCCTGGAATCCCAGCACTGGGGAGACAAAAGACAGGCAGATTCCCTTGAGTGTGCTAGCCAGCCAATTTAGACAAATCGGTGAGCTCCAGGTTTAGTGATAGATCCTGTCTCAAAATACTCAGATGGAGAATGATTGAGGAGGACAGTTGACACAGCTCCCTGGCTCAGCACACATGCATACATGTATGTACACATCCATGCGCACACATACACATATGCAAATATGTACATACATATACAACACACAAAGTATTTTAACACATTATTATTGTGAAAGGAGGAGGGCACTTGTGTCATGGTACACACGTGGAGGTCAGAAGACAACTTTGTGAAATTGGTTCTCTCTTTCCACTACATGGGTTTGTGGAATTGGCTTTAAGTCATCTGGTTGAGGGGCAAGTGCCTTTAGCTGCTGAGCCATCTTGCCAGCCCCAATATAAAGTATCCATAAAAGTATGCAAATACAAGAATACTAGAAGGTTACCTTAATTTCGAGAGAATGTTCACAGTGGAGCTTTTGTAGAGATGCCACAGTGGCTTCCATCTCCTGAATCGATCCTAGTTTGTGGACAAGTGGGAAAATCCAAGTATCTCTTTCCAGATTCATTACACTGTATCTGCTTCAGTTTTGTAAAATTCATGTTTTGTTTGTCTATTTCTGTTTTGCAATTCAGGGACCAAATCCAGGGGCTTGGGTGTGATATGTTAGCTGTTATTATATCAAATTTTATCCATTTCCCCATTAATATTCTTTTTCTTTTCCAGGATCCAGAATACCACATGAAAAAACAAGCCTGGCTTGGTGGAACACACCTATATTCTCAGCGCTGGGGGAAGGTGAATTAAGACAATCAAAAACTTCAAGGACTGCTTGGGCTACATGGCAAGACCCTGTCTCAAAAGATAACAGTATTGAGGCACTGGTGGGGAATGCCTTTCATCCCAGCATTCTGGAGGCAGAGGCAGGTGGATCTCTGTGAGTTTGAGGATAGCTTGGTCTACATAGCTGGGGCTACAGGGAGTCCCTGTCCCCAAAACAAAACAAAAAAGATACCAGTAAAACAATTTCCAAAGATTAAAAAATGTACTCACAACAACAATCTTTGCATACGATTTATTATTTCTTTTTGTTTGCTTTTGAGACAGGGTCTTGCTATGTAGCCCTGGCTGGCCTAGAGTACCCTTTGTAGATCAGAGGGGCCTTGAACTTGTGATGATCCTTTTGCCTCTGCCTCCTGAGCACTGGAATTACAGGCATTCACAACCATATCTGGCTTTTTTTTTGGTCTTTTTGAGACAGGGTCTCCCTGTAGCCCCAGCTGTCCTGGAACTCACTATGTAGACCAGGCTGGCCTTGATCTCACAGAGATCTGCCTGCCTCTTCCTCCTTAGTGCTGGGATTAAAGGCATGTGCCACCACACACTCCTGAAGTACTGCTGTAGGGCTTCGAAGTCCATCTTTCTAATTCTCCCTTCCAGTTCCATCTTGAGCTTCCTCTGTTCCTATATAGAGGCATTTTTAAAAGTCATATCCAAGCACAGTCAAGAAAAACTTGATTTAGGGCCAAGGAGATAGCTTAGTGGATAAAGGCACTTGCCACTAAACCTGACAACATGAGTTCGATGATCTCCAGACTTACATGGTGGAAGGAGAGAACTGACTCACACAAGTTGTCCTCTGACTTCCTTGCACATGTGTGCACAGGCACAAATACACACTAACTAAATGTAATAAGCAAAAGAAAACCTTAATTTAGAACAAAAGGAAGAGAGAATGGGAGCTGAGCTCTCATTCAATACAGAAGACTATAATGCAGCACAAATTCTAAGAGAAACATTCAAAAGAAAACGATGCCTTTTGTTCAGTTTGGAGGGTTATCAAACTGCCAGTTCTACCTTGGAGTTTCTTACTACAGAGCAAGCCTACCTTCTTGAGATTGCTTAGATAACCCACCCCCAGCTTCCAGGGTTGCATAGCTTATCAGTTTCCACAGTCTCATTTCCTTGGCCTGGGGGGGGGTGCCCTCTCTAGCTGGCAGATGGTGGCAGAGGACATGTGTAGACAGAGAACCTGGGAGGATTTCCACACAGAACAGGTTGGAGAATTCCTAAAGCTCAGAATCCACGTGTCTGTATGCACCCAGTTGTCATTGGCTGGCATATTCCCTCTGGGAGTAATAACCACAGTCCTCCCATTTCCTGTGAGGCTGGCCTCTTGGTCCCTTCAGGTGGAATAATGCAGCCACCACTGCAGCTGAAGGAGAGCAGCTCCTAGGCTGCAGAGGCCTCTCTGTGTCCCAAGGTGACAGGGACCAGTGTTACCATGGAGTCACATCTGGAGGTGAGCGTGGCATACCAGCTATTCATGACTTGGGGTCTTGGTCTGGATTGTAGTGTATTTCCTGAGTAATGAGGAGCTGAACAGATGACTCAGTGGTTAAAAACACTTGCTGTTCTTCCAGAGGACCCATAGTCAGTTCTCAGCACCCACATGACAGCTGACACACTTCCATATCTCCAGTTTCAGGGGATTCGATTTTCTTATCTGGACTCCAGACGCACCAGGCATGCACATGGTACACTTATACATGCAAGCAAAACATTTGTCCACAGAAAATATAAATAAGATCTTTTTAAAATAAGAACATCCATGGCTGGGCGAGGTGGCACACACCTACAGTCCCAGCACTTGGGAGGCAGAGGCAGGCAGATCTCTGTGAGTTCAAGGCCAGCCTGGTCTACATAGTGAGTTCCAGGCCAGCTGGGTCTATAGGAAGACCCTGTCTCAAAAGGACCCCACTCCCTCCCAAAAAAGTGAATGATGGCCTGGAGTTGTAGTTCAGTGGTAAAGGCTTTGTCTAGGCAAGGCCCTGGATTTGATCCTCTGAACAGAATAAAAGAAAATAAATAAATAAAGCAGGTATGTAATCTCATGTTCAGGAAGCTGAGACAGATAGATCAAGGTCAGCCTGGGCTACATAGTGAGACCAAGACTCAAAATAATAAATAAAATAAATAAATAAATGCTGGAAGACATAGTTTGGCTGGTATAGTGCTTGCCTAGCATGCACAAAGTCCTGTGCTCAGTCTCCAGCATTACATAAAATCAGACACAGTGGTGCATGCCTGTAATTTGTAATATTTGAGTGGTGAAAGCAGGATGATCAGAAGTTTAAGGTCATCTTTAGTTACATAGATGATAATTTGAGGCTAGCCTGGGATACACAAAACCCTGCTTAAAAAGAAACAAAGAAAGAAAAAGAAGGAAAAAGAAAAAAATCATAGAAAAATAAAAACCTGACCTCCCATTCCATACACTTTGAGCCTGAAAAACTGGCAAGGAAAGAGGGAACAGAAAGAAAGGAGAAGGGCTAGAAGGGGGTGGGGGGGAGAGAGAGAGAGAGAGAGAGAGAGAGAGAGAGAGAGAGAGAGACTCATTGGTTAGATGGAAAACAGGCCTGTGGGGCCTCAGAACCGAAGTAGGGCAGAGGGACCAGGACACATCCCTACCACTGTCCCACTTTGAGAAGTTCAAGCCTAGAGTTTTCAGCAGCTCCCAGCACATTTTGTGCTTTGACACCTGTGATAACTAACTGTTTGTAGTACTAACATGCCCTCTCTCCTGAGGCATCTTCTTAGTATTGAAGAATGAGGAGGGACAGGTCAGGGACTGTGCCCTGAAACACCCTCCCAGGACAGAGCCACCTTGAACCAGTCAGGGTGGAATTAGCACTGAGGTACCCCTCAGTGCCTTCTATTGGCCTCTGGTCTCTATCAAGCAGTCTGCTGGTTTCTAGTTCAGCAAATGTTCACTGAGACTCTGGCAGGCGCCTTCTGCAGAGCAGTTGTGTAGGGTCATCATGGTGGTAGAACACTTACCTAGCCAAGTTCAATTCCCAGCATTGCAAAAGAAAAGCCAAAACAGGGCTGGGAATACGGCTCAGTGGTGGAGCACTTACTTAGGATGTGCCAGGCTCTAGGTTCTATCCCCAGTACCCCAAGGGGATAGGGAAGTAGAAAGGGACATGAATGAATGAATGAATGAATGAA